CATGGGTAGAAGCTTGTTTGTAAACAATGACACGCTATGGCCATCTGACGCATGCGCAGGTGACGACTCCCCCGCTTCAATAGTCAGACGTGTAGTATTATAATTCATCATCATAGTTGTTCTTTGGTTCATATTGCTTTTTCGTGGAAAATATACGTGAGCATGACGCATCATAACTAGGCAATTTTAAGGCACTTAATGGCAACGTATAACTGTGAACGCATAAAACTGGCATCATACAATAACCAAACCACTAAGAACTGTTAATTTATGTTTGAGAAAAGGAAATAAATAACAAGTGGTGATCTTACTTTGAAAGTTTGTAAAGCGTCAATAAATAAAGTTGGTAATTCTCCCCTAAGCCACTGATTCCATGCACTATCTCTATCAACATCCTCACGAGAAGAAGGAACATCAAAATCCCCTGTAACAAAAACTACATGTGTCAGATAGGAATATCCTTCCATAAATAGTGTTTATAATTCTCTACTAAGCAATTGATTTCATACACTATTGCTTTATAATAAATACAGATAGCTGTGTAATTATTAGTTGAATTCGTGCACAGCTCCTTCTCCTAGGAGATAAAAAACATCAGCCTGTGCTAAAAACACTAGCTATATACACTTTTTGAATCAGCATTATTATTGCATTTATAATCATAAATCTAACGTATACTGTAAAATATCTCTTTTTGGTGAGCATGTCTTTTTAGTGAATTTAGCGAGAGAACTACATGTAATTTACTAATTTCAGCTGTCGCTAATAACGCTAAATTCAAAATGGCGGCCAAACAACGTCCTTTTCTCAGCACACTCTTTGTAAACAACACAGAAAACGTAATAATCTGGAGTGCTTCCTTATTATACTTGACAGTTTTTATGGAGGTGATAACTGCGCATTTGTTTCGGCAGACGACAGACAAGTATTGTGAAAACAGGAAATCAACAAAGACGAGAGATTCAATCGCTAAATCAACATTTCGCTATTACATCATTTTAACACAATTCCCTAAAATAGTAGGTATGTCGCTTTTTCAACATGTTTTACAGTATACATTCCTGATTACTGTACTAAGTAATCATAGTTAAAAAGATTGAACATTTGTATATTCTTAACAAGTTTCAGAGTTCCTTACTCCCTGCTATATTCTTCTCTCCTGTGTGTGAACACAATTGAGTATAGTTGATGTGCAAACATAAGAGATTAGCTTAAATCTTAGCCCATACTTGGTGTAGCTTGAACATGATGTCTGACACATGCTTCATGTGTTGTATTGCTTACCTTGTACAACAAATCTAAATCCATAACTTCTTAGCGGTAAAAATGCAAAGACTTTCTGTTTATCTGGAGTTGACTGTGGATAGATTGCACTTCCTGATGATGGCTGCTGCAGTAAGAAAGCTAATGCCAACTCAGTAGATTCCACATTTTCTTTGCTCATCTGAAAACAAAACAAGACAGGGTGAAACTACCATGACCATAACATGACCTTCAGATCCACGCCACAACTGACGATCACTGTGACATAAGCTGGGATTTTATATCCCAGCTTAAAACATACCTATGGAATTAGTATTTTGATATAAAAATTATTATTTTTAATTATGACTTCTGACACCGAAAATGAAAGTGTTATGGTCATGTTCAAATGACTTTTTTATTTGGAAATTGTGCATCACGTTTTTGTCACATTCAAACACTCTTCATTTTTTACTTCAGACGCAGAAGAACGTTTTATTAACAGTGTGTAATGGAAATAGAATACCGTCACGCAAAACGTTCGTCATTGCTATTATGGGTTGAATCACCAAGTGATTTCTTAGGATATAGCCTTGCTTGTAGTTAATTTATGCGAGGGAATCATAACATTTTTGTTTTTCAAATTTCTTGGTCTGACTGCTAAGACAAGAATTAAATATATTGAAAATAAAAATAAAGGTGACTTCTGAAGGCACACTGTTGAGACATCTGATTTCCTTGATTTTTATACTTATTTTGTTTATAAAGATATACACATGACACTAACTACACAACACACACATTTAACTTCATTGAGTCAGTAGACTATCACTTACATTACTTGCATCTAGTTGTTTCTTAGTCACTATCCATCTATCTACACCATTAGTATGTTGTACTTCTATCACATCATCATCCACATCAGTTCTTGTCATACTGTGTTCTTCTCCATTCACCTACAAATACAGGTATATACTATTAATTTGCAGCCAGGAATTACCAAGTTAAAGGGCGGCGGTCATCACGTCGCGTCCTGTTCGATGTGGAATCATCCACAGTGACGTTCACAACGCATGTGAAATATATTGTTTATTTACAAGAAATTCAAACGCACGCTGTTTGACTAACAACACTGTTCAAGGGTTGCTGCTAACATAATAACTCGCCATCAATTTTGAAATTGAATAAAAGAACTGTAAAAGTATAAGAACTCAGCACTCCCTAATTCAGGGGAAAAACCACATTGTCATCTTATACTCCCTAACCCCCTGTAAACATTAAAATCTAGATATTCAAATGCAATATTCCTGTCAGAGATCGGCCTTTCAATGTGAGCTACGCAATAAAGAAATTTGAGTTCAAAATCAAATCGTTCGATTTTTGTGGCAGATGTTCGCAACTCAGGCCAGACTTGTATTATCCCTTGTTTCGCGAACCCGCCGAATGAACAGGAGCCGAAAATGAAATAAAAGTATAATTTTATTTCAGCGTAATTTCTTGCGCCAGCCGACTTGTAAGCGCAAAACAATGCTGAAAAAATATTATTTATATCTTCATTTGTTTACCACCCGCCGCATAAGAAATCCAAGTTGCATTTTTGTGGGAGTATCATGATCAAAGTACCGAAGTCTCGCGCAGATGAGAAACAAGGTTATACATGGAATAAAATTTTATTGCATTTCTCCTCTCCGATCAACGATCTCACTTACAATTTTTTGAGAATCACACAAATCTAATGGAAAAAAATGAATTAATTTTATTTTTTTTCCGCCCTCCTCAAAAAAATTGCCTTACAAAAACTCGCGAAACAAGGAATAAAAAAAGTCTGGCCTCACAAGATCTCGCAGTTGAACGGAAAATCACCTTTTGTACTAACCTTGTTTCTGATACTGATACTCTTAAGTCGATGCAAGAATAATAGCAAAGACGGGTGAATGTCATGGAATCTATTTGCTAATAATCTTCTATCCTGTGTTTCTGCCTTCACCGGAAGCACTATCCTTGTTTTCCACCTGTAACAAATTAAATTGAATATGAATTCTCCGTCAAATATCAAACACATCTAGTTAGAACTTAAGTATGCATAATCTTTTCACCACCAGACTGTGTCACCGAAAATTTTTCTGTACTTTTTAAAAAAATTCTTCAATATTTCTGGAAATGAGCCCTAATTTTGGAGCCAACAGACAAAATTTTAGTCAATTTTCATTTTTTATTCAAACAAATTTGGTTATTTTTGTCCCAATCTTCTGAAGGAATGTGCAGACTATAAATTTTGTGAATTTATGATGAAAAGAGGGAACTGGTGGTGAAAAGGTTAAACACAAAGATTTATTCCCATTTTAAGTAAATGAAAATGATACAGTGTATGTAAATTTAAATATAATAGCAAACTAGTTGTTCAGTTATAGAAACATGCCGAAATTAGTAAATATGCAAATTACATGATTAATATGCACCAAACTGAAACTTTTAGTTTTTTTCAAATATCAGACAAATATATTGTATCAATCAATCAATCAATCAATCAATCGATCTTCTGAAGAAAATTGCAAACTATAAATGGGATTATTTTGTGAATTTGTGATGAAATGAGGAACTGGTGGTAAGAAGGTTAAATGCACTTACTCTGTGTCTTCTACACAGGAGTTTTCATCAATCCAGTGTGGTAGTATGTATCCATTGGGTCCACTCTTGGCATCAAAACACATGTGATATCCATTAGAATGTATCTCTGGTTTATCAGTAATACGAAAGACAGATTTAAAACCTATACCCTTCTGACCTGAAATATAATCAAAGAAATAAGTTTAGAACCAAATGACACTACTGTAAAATCTGTATTAGAAGCTATGGCTTCTATTAAAATGGTACAATGCAACAGAGGTGATGCGGCTTCTATTAGAGCATCTACACGTATGAGAAATGGTGAATTTTTGGTTCTCAATTCTTCAAAAAGAATGAATGCGACTTATATTAGAGATGCGGCTTCTAATACAGATTTTTGGTTCTCGATCACACACTGCACTAATGAATAACAATGGTTGTTTTTATCTGTCATTATTCTCATTAGACACATCTCATTCACAAGTGAGTGTTAATTACATGAAAGATACACTGTATCATGGAAATTCAAATACTAAGTGGCAACCCAGCTAGGAAATAAGATTTCCTCTTTGCTTAGCTAACACAACCACATCAGGAATGTTTTATAGATTAATTGGCATCCTATCACATCCAGGCTGAGAAATATATGAGCAAAATTAACTCACCAATATATCCATATTTATGTTTTCCTTTTGTACTTTTGCCGACATCGCACAATGCTCTGATGTCTTTCTCACGGAATCCACTTTCGTTGTTCAAAACCGTAACACATTCCTTCTCAATTACAAAACGCAAAGCAGGTGGACTGTCATCCATATTCTCGTAGTTATTATCATCTGCGTTTTGCACCAATTCCAGCACGAAATGTGTATCTTTACTGTATAACTCGGTTGATAATCTTTCTAAGCTCCTTCCACTGCGTTCTTTGTAAACTTCCATCAATGCACTAGCTTCCTCGGATAACTCAACTCCAACACCAAACTGATGATGTCTGATATCGGAAATCACTGCTCTACATTCTCGCTGGATCTTCTCTTCTTCTGTCAATTCCAATTCTGCAGGTTTGTCTTCAAGTTTAGCATCATTTTCATCTTTTGTTTCATCTTCATCTTTAGCACTGTCTTTTTTTCCCTCTTCAATGTCTGTTGTTCCTTCATTATCATCATCATCATCATCATCATCATCATCGTTGTCACCACCAACCCTCTTCTTCGCTTTCCCATCATCATCACAAATTCTCTCCTCATTAATTTCCTCATCAATATCATTTGTCTCATCATCTTGTCCCTTCAAGTCGCCCTCAAGTGATACCTTGTCACTACCAGCTGCAAAAAAGTTTTATAAAAAAAAAAATCACTTTGGTTTCTATCCCAAAATATGTAAACAATTCTCAATCCAGATCTATTCTAACTTAACTCGCATATGTCCATGATCAAAAAAATATATTAATAGGAGAATCAGTATTAAAACAAGTACTGCCAGCTAATATAAATAAGTACACAATTCATTGTACATGGATTAAAAGTAGACAATTTCATGCTCACATTTTGGTTCAGTAGACTGTGAATCTAGTGTAAGTAAATCCTCACTGTCACTTGAAATGTCACTATCCATGTTTCCCTCAGCATCATCATCAGTGTCATCATCAGTGTCACCATCTGTGTCACCGTGTATGTCACCGTGTATGTCACCGTGTATGTCAGCATCATAATAGGGGTCATCACATGATACAGCTGGTGTTATGGATTCTTCTGATGTGCTCTGTGAAAAAAAAATATATATTACTATAATTGCAATGCAATATTAAATCCACTGCAAATTTTAACATTTTCACCAGCAGACTTCCTCGCCCAATTTTTTTTATAGTTTTTTCTTATATTAGTCAATATTTCTGGAAATTAACCCTTATTTTGAAGCCAACAGTTAAAATTTAGGCAAATTTTTAGTTTTTGTCACAATTTTTTGAAGGGAAGCGCAGACTATAAACAGGGAGATTGTGATGAAAGGAAGGAACTGGTGATGAATAGGTTAAACCTTGCTAAGTCTTTACACACTACATGGTTGATGATTATTTTCTTACCTGTTGTTTTGCATGTATTTCACATGTTTTTTTATCAAATGTTCCAATCCATTCAGTAATCCCTAATAACAATCCTAATTCTTCTAATCTGCTTGTCTCCTTGCAAGACTTACAGTATTTTACCAACAGCGTCTTAGATTTAGTCGCTCCAATCACCTTTCCCAGAGGTTCTAGTATTACCTGTTGAACAAATAATACAATTACTATCTTTTGTAAATAATTGTATAATTAAACACATGATGTAATTAAAAACATGTCATTGTTTACATAAATTAATTAAAATGAAATGTTGGGAGAGTATACAGCTCATAACATGTCTATAACCACTGAGTGAAAACAACATTCTTCAAAAAAAATCAGCCAAAGTACTGTACTGCGAGCATGTCTTTTTAGCGAATTTAGCGAGAGAACTGATTCGCTAATTCAAGATGTCGCTAATGACTTTATTATAAATTCAAAATGGCCAAGGCTTGGGGATTTGTATACAGTAATTTGGAACATAAAAATCTGGGGCGCTTGATAATTACACTTGACAGGTTTTTTTTGTTTTTATGGAGGTGATAATTTGTTTTGGCATGCGACAGACAAGTATTGTGAAAACAGGAAATCAACAATGACAAGAGAGATTATTCGCTAAATCAACATTTCGCTATTACGTCATTTTACCACAAATCGCTAAAATTGCATGTCGCTTTTTCAACATGTTTTATAGTATATCCAAGAAATGGTAAAACCAACACAAAGCAAACTGATGTGCATCAAAACCATCATGTTCCTACCATGTTGAATACGACAAAACATGCCTGTGAAATGTTCAAATCTTGTTCTATAAATAAAAATCTGTCAGTGGTTATTAAAATGGAAAAGAAATGAACATTTTCCTTCTTTTTTTTTTACGAAAACTTCCAAATTTTATCGGAATCCAAAAGTGACTTAAGAAAACCTGCAACATAATATCTTTTGCCTTTGTATAAAATTTAAACAAAATCTGTAAAATGTTACCTAAGAAAAAATTGATGACATGTTTAAATGTTGATTTTTAGTGTTTTTTGAAACTGATATGGCCACCATTCAGTCAAACATCAACCAGAACAGAACTAACTACACTGAAAAACTAATTAACATGCATACGGTATGTCTCCTATATCTTTGCACCAACTTCGAACACAACCAGTCCAGCCATGTCTGAGTAATTATGTCGCTCGGACAAATACACAATGTACAGAAACGAAAAGCATAAGTCCCCATTTGACACTTTGTCAGACGTAGACTAAATAGATATTATACTGCTTTGTAAATACAAGTGGCTGATACAGTAGTTACTGAGAAGGAAACCAACAACATCGTTCTTGAAAAATACACTACTACAAGGAATAGTTCTTTACATTTGTTTTTGGGATCTTCTGGTATAATAATGATAAAAGCCCATTTTCTAGTAAATTTATGTCCTAACAGTGCTAATCAGTCAACGATTCACAAAAAAAACATATACATGTATGTTGTTAATTTAGCCAATATTCTGTCCAGCTATCTGTTACCATTCACCACACATGTAGTAACAAAACACTGTACACACCTGTTGAGCCACAGCTTGACAGATCTGAGTTGGGATACACAACAAACACTGTAATATAAAGTTAGCAATGACTTCATAATTCTCATCCTCATCTTCAAAATAAGATGGAGGAGCACCAGGAGCAGTCGATGATTGAACTACGGTTTTACTGACGCACAACTTATTAAGAGCCGTCTCCATCATATTAGCCAATAATGCGAGAGGAGATGAAGTTACACCACCATGATGAATCACTATGGAAACCAAATGACCAACAGTTTGATGAGATTCTCCATTTTCTGCACTCTGGCTGAAGAGTTCAGGTGTTGAGTCGGTTGATAATTTCAATAAAACACCAGGTTTGGTTTCTAGAACACACATGTCAAAGGCTGTAGATATTCCTATGAGGAAAAAATAGATGAGATCCAATGGTAAGTGTCTATGCTATAGAACATGGGTTTGAGGCAGCCATGTAAATTTGTGGTAACGATAACTGTATAAATACAAAACCATCAGGACATAAAAGCGCATTTACTAACCATTGTTTTTAATCATATATCCTGTATTTTTTTCTATGAACTGTTTAATATCGCCATGTTCAGGTTGAAATATGAGAGACCAATGAGACCAGACTGATAAGTCTTCCAATAAAGGTGCATTTAATAAACATATCATGGCTTTCTCTTTACTCTGTGATCCAAGTAAACCCACTTCTCTTGATGATTCTACCATCTCTCTTGCTCTGCTTGGAAAAACAAAGCAAATGGCCATTATTAGGTTGATAAAACCAGTTACAGACTTGTTGCAATAAAAATGTGTTGGACCAAAATGGCAATCAGTCGATCATACTGCATCAGGTTCAAAGAAATAATGCGACTTCCAATTTTAAAGCGAGGGAGTCGTCACCTGCGCATGTGTCAGATAGCCATCGCATTTCATTGCATACAAACAAGCGTCTACCCATGAGCCTTTACGTTTTAGCTTGGGACTCAATTCCCATGCGTGCGCAGGTGACAACCCTCTCGCTTTACCAAAATACATATGAATGTGTCTGATATCATATATATGTATGTTAGTTGTGAATAAAATGTTATTCCAAGGTTGACTGCAATATGACCATGCATAATAATAATATAATAATAATGTTTATTCAACCTTTGTATGTCAGTGCAACGATTGTCAAGTTGACAAAAATGGCCACCAGTCGGCCATGTACGATAAAGCAAGATGTTCATCAATGGTCTACCATATGTAGTCGTTAAATTAAGTTTGAACCAAATTAGCCAAACCACTTCTGAAAGTACTAAAAATTAATAATTCATTTTCTTCAGAATTTCAACCACGGGTAGAAGAAATAAATAGCGAGAACTTGATTTCTGACAAATTCATGAAAAAGAAATAATGTACCGACCTGTTGTTTGTGCAGAATGCAGTTTCATACACAACTCTGTTTATTTGCTGTGCATTTCTGGAGGTGTTAGCATGTTCATTCTGTTTTCTCACTTCATTGATGAGCTGAGGAAGCAAACCACGGCCAAGATCTCTCACGCTAGAAACCTTAAAATGGTTACATAAACTACTTTCTATATAATCAGCCTGCAAAACAAACAAACAAACATTAATAAAATAATATTTTTGACTAAATAATATATTGAAACTATTAGTCATGCTGCTCTCGAATGAGTTTGAAACTCCACATCATCCTATACCTACCTT